AGATAGCCTGTGAAAGGAGTAGGTCTGACCAGTCCAGCCAGCGCTGCCCCTGAGCTGTGCCTTGGGGCTGCTCATGTGCCCGTGGCGGAAAAGCACCATCCATCATGCACAGCCAGACACCTGACGGCCAGGGCCAGCATCCCAAGGGAGGCACTACCAGCCCCGTGGTCAGCTGTCAGAACTGAGGGGCACCAGGCGCGGTGGCTCACGCCTGTAATCCCAGCACTTTGGGAGGCCAAGGCGGGTGGATCACAAGGTCAGGAGATCAAGACCATCCTAGTCAACATGGTGAAACCCCGCCTCTACTAAAAATACAAAAAACTAGCTGGGCATGGTGGCGCGTGCCTATAATCCCAGCTACTCAGGAGGCTGAGGCAGGAGAATTGCCTGAACCCAGGAGGCGGAGGTTGCGGTGAGCCGAGATCGTGCCATTGCACTCCAGCCTGGGTAACAAGAGCGAAACTCCGTCTCAAAAAAAAAAAAAAAAAAAAAAAACAAACTGAGGGGCAAAGAGAAGCCCATGATCACACACACAACTTGAAAAACAGGCTGTTTTCTACAAGATCAGCGTGCTGCTTAGACCTGACTACACCCACGCTTCTAGGGAGCCGTAGGCCTTCATGTGAGTCCCACACAGATAAACCTCTCCTTGCCAAGCCTGGGTACAGTGGCTCCCCCATGGACATGAGTGACTCCCTCATGCATTAAGAACCGTACATGCCCCTAACCCATGTGAGTGAGCCACGTGGTTACCTGCATTTCACAGTAGAGGAAGACGAGTCCACACGCAAGCTCCCCAGGAGCCCAGAGCAGGTCATCCCAGCATCGCCCTTGGCTGCATTGCTGGGCCAGGCCTTATAATCTGGAGAAGAGCAGGATATGCTGCCTCAGCCCTAGTCCCGTAGGACCTTGGGAAGTCCAGTAAGCTCTGGGCCTGGCACTGTGATGCCACGAGCCTCTGCAGGCTTCCCTGTGCCCCCACAACACCTGCCCCTGCATGGCCCTACTGCTGTGCCCATGGGACAGGGGGCTCCCAGAGAGGAGGGTGGCACAGCCTGGGGCAGGATTCACACTCCCAGGGACCCTGCAGCAGGCGGCATCTGAGCTGGTAGAACTCAGCCAGCACCGTTACCCTGGACAGCTCTCAGAGTGGCCGCAGCAGCTTCTACTCCACCAGGTAGCTGGTCACCCGGGCCATGCCCAGGGGCTCATCCCCCCGAGGCAGCAGTGGCAACGTTGCCACCACTGAATCATTCCTAGAGGGAACACACAGGACAAATCACTGTGCCTGGCCGAGGCTTGCAGAGGGGTAGCTCACAGATCCGCACGAAGAGCTCTGCCATGGAGAGCATTGGGGTGCCTCTCGGGGAGGGGTTGTCCTTGTTCTAGGAAATCCCATAATGAGGTAGAGGAGGACAGGCCAGCATGACAGCGAAGGCTGGGGGTGAGGCCGGGACAGAAACAAGCTGCCCTATTTTGAGGACACAGATGTCTGATGTCATGTCTGATCTGCCCCCTGGGTCTTGGGCAGAACAGGGCCTGTGTGTGGGGATGCCAAGGACAGGAGCTGGAAGGTATAGGAAACTGTTTTTTTGGGTTTTTTTTTGAGACAGAGTTTCGCTCTTGTTACCTAGGCTGGAGTGCAATGGCACGATCTCGGCTCACCGCAACCTCCGCCTCCTGGGTTCAAGCAATTCTCCTGCCTCAGCCTCCTGAGTAGCTGGGATTACAGGCATGCGCCACCACGCCCAGCTAGTTTTTTGTATTTTTAGTAGAGACGAGGTTTCACCACGTTGACCAGGATGGTCTCGATCTCTCGACCTCGTGATCCACCCGCCTCGGCCTCCCAAAGTGCTGGGATTACAGGCTTGAGCCACCGCGCCCGGCCTAACTGTTTTGTTTTTCGAGACAGAATCTCATTTTGTTTCCCAAGCTCGGGTATAGTGGTACGATCTGGACTCCCTGCAACCTCTGCCTCCTGGGTTTAAGTGATTCTCCTGTATCAGCTTCCAGAGTAGCTGGAACTACATGCACTCACTGCCATGCCTGGCTAATTCAGATCTCACAGGCTTGAACCTACTCTACATATCGAGAAACCTTCAGTCCTCCCCTCAACTGTAGACATTTCCTGAGATCACACCACTGAGAAGAGTGAGACTCCATCTCAAAAAAAAAAAAAAAGATGATTACAAAACAAAAGCAGGGAAATGTGACAGAGCAGAATGGCCTGCTTAAGAGGCGACTGAGGCTCTCTGCAGGGAGCAGTGCACACCCTGCTGAAGATTTCTTGTGCTTCGTGTCTGTCTCTGAGTAAAACAGCTCCCTGAAGGCAGGGGTCAGCCTGGCCCACTGTGGTCCTCTGCAGCAGCTCCTAAAATCCTGCCTGCACTGGGACCATGCTCACGAGGTTTCTGTGGAGTGAGGAAGAAATCCCAGCTTCCTCTCCTGTGAAGTGGGGAGTGAAGAAGCCTTTGTATAGGGCTGTCAGAGTAGTCAGTGAGTCAGAGCGCGTCGAAGCATTCAGCATTGTGCCTGATATGTGGCAAAAATGTCAGATGCGCAACTCCCAACCCTGAATTACCTGGTTATGAGGTCATACAGGTCCAGCAGGGCTTTGCAGAGCCTCTTCAGTGCCCGTGAGAATGTGGCCTCAGCCCAGGACAGCATCTGGTGGGCCACCTGGAGAGGGAGGGGACAGAGAGAGCTGTCTCGGTCGTCCTCAACTGCCAGCCACGCCCCATCCTTGCCCTCACTCTCCAGCTCCAGGGTGCCTTTCACGGCCCCTCGGGCCACCCTAATGGGCCTGGGACCCCGGTTGACTGGCATCCCGGAAACCCAGGCCTGTAGCCACCACATGGCCTCCTCTGCCTACTCCCGCCACACCTCCTCCAGGGGCTGCAGCATCACTTCCAGGAAGGCGTTCTTCAGTGTGGCCAGGGGCCCTGCAAAAGGCAGCCACCACCCACCATGAGGCCTCTGGGGAGCTCAGAGGCCCAGCCCAGGTCTGGAGGAGATAGGGCCTGTTCCTGGGATTAAAATGGTGGGGGAAGTGGGGGAAAAGAAATAGAGTAGAAGGCACTGAAGATTGCAGGTGAGTTGTTACAGTAAACCCGAGCCGCCTCTGCATGGCCTGCTTCATAAGTTGTCTGGGAACTTGGATTGGGGGAGGGTTTCCCCCACTCCTAGAAGTGATACGAGGCTCTCTGCACCTGAACTGTTTGCACAAACGGGGTTTATGCTGAACCCCTGCTTGCCTCCTAGGAGTCTGACAGTGTGCTCTGAGCCAAGCAGCACCTGCCAATTAGGCAGCCCCACTAAATACCCTGGGTGACATAGTGCTGGGACAGCCAAGTGCCTCCCATGTGAAGGCGCTGGACTGGGAGAGGACACTGGGTGCTGGCCCTGGTTCCCCCTGGACTCCGCCCTGGCCCCCTTCCCTGTGCCGACACTCCTGCTTTCTCTCACTGTAGTCAATGACAGCTGTGAACAGCACAGTGGGCCGAGTCATGGAGCACTCTTTCAAATTCACTGCCCTGTGGGTGGCCATGGGACTCTGGCACAGCAGAGAGGATATAGAGGTGACATTCAATAGCCAGTCAGAGGGACACCTACCCTGGCATGGGGCAAGGTCTTAGCCCCAGATGGTGGAGAGGCCAGAAGTTCCTAGTCCTGCCAGGAGGACAGTCGAGGCAGCCGCTGTGAGCATTTAATGACCATGCGGCCACAAAGAGCTCATCGTGGAACCAGAAAGAGACCCTGTGGCAGTAAGCGTCACAGAAACAAGGCTGTACACTCAAAAGAAAGCAGGCAGAAGACTGAAGAAACTGAGGCAGCAGGCATAAGGAATATTAGCTTGGAGACCTTGTAAGAATAAGACAGAAGCCCATGAAAAAAAGAAGGTTGGGTCAGGCACCGTGGCTCACACTTATAATCCCAGCACTTTCGGAGGCTGAGGCCAGTGGATCACAAGGGCAAGAGATCAAGACCATCCTGGCCAAAATGGTGAAGCCCTATCTCTTCTAAAATACAAAAATGAGCCAAGCATTGTGGTGCATGCCTGTGGTCCCAGCTACTTGGGAGGCTGAGGCAGGAGAATCACTTGAATACGGGAGGCAGAGGTTGCAGTGAGCTGAGATTATGCCACTGCACTCCAGCCTGGTGACACAGCGAGAAAAAAATAAATAAGCCACCACCATTTGCAGGACTGGATGTGAAAAGAAAAAAAATATGTATAAGGTTAAATGCGTGCTATAGAAGAACTACCACCTGTTCAGCAGCTGAGCACACCGTGATTCCTAACTCAGCAAAAGAACCCCTGCTCTGGGAAAAACTAAGTGAACTGCTGTTTCCAAAATGCATTTTTATGATTGAAAATCTGTTTCCCAAGCCCTCCTTCCAGTCCTTGGCACTGTGACAAGCGTTTCTTACTTCTGAGGACGTGGGGTTGGAGATGCAAAAGGGAAAGTCACCAAGGCTGAGTTCCAGCTGACTCACAGGGCACGGCTCTGCTGCAGTGGCCGGGCTTACCTCCATGAAGTGATTGCTCAGGGTGGGTCCCGAGTCATTCTTGAAGGTCTGGCTGACACGGAGATACCTCTTGTTGCTGCTCTCGTCCCAGTGCTTCCCATAGCTCGCCTCCGGTTCAAGCAATTCTCCTGCCTCAGCCTCTGGAGAAGCCAGGATTACAGGCACCCGCCACTAAGCCTGGCTCATTTTGTATTTTTAGTAGAGATAGGGTTTCACCATGTTGGCCAGGCTGGTCTTGAACTCCTGACCTCGTGATTCGCCTGCCTCAGCCTCCCAAAGTGCTGAAATTACAAGTGTGAGCCACTGCACCTGGCCTTGTTTTTTTTAAACTTATTATTAGTTTATTTTACAGGTAAGATCTAACTCTGTTGCCCAGGCTGGAGTACAGTGGCACCATCTTGGCTCATTGCAACCTCTGCCTCCTGGGCTGAAGCAACCCTGGATGAATAGACATAAGACTTCCTATGTGGCTATGCTATTGGGAGCAAGTTCATCTCTTTAGGAATGAGCTCAGGGTACTCAGATCACCTTGCCAGACTCTGGTGCTCTCTCTGGATGTCCCACCTGGCCTGGGCACCCTACCTTGTGGCTGAGGCCGGGATCTGTGTGCTGTGGAGCTCATGGCCCAGCTCCAGCTGGTAAGCGCCATCTAAGCCACTCTCTGTCGGCAGCCTCTGGCCGGTGCTGCACTGGTGCGCTGGCTGCTTTGCCTGAGCTGTGAAGATTGATCAACGGACCCCTGCCCTCCTCTGCCAGGCAGCCCTCCACCAGGGCTCCAAGAGGAGGAGGGCCCAGCCCAGCCTGGCCTCAGCCGTGTCCTCCCAGCCCTGTGGTCTGCTTCACCTGTCACTCCATTAGAACCTGTTCTTGGGGAGGTCTTAAGAGAGGGATGAATGTCCCCTCAGCAGACACACCTTTTTTTTGTTGTTGTTTTAAATGAGCAGGTACTAAGTCCTACTCAGAGCCCACAGAATGACTAATGGAAAATCCTGTGGTGACAGCATATCTTAGCCTGCAGAGCCACAGCCTCAAGAAACAGGGCAGACCCTGCCACCTCCAACTGCCCCACAGCCAGACATGCAGTGCCTTACCCAGCAGGCTGCACTGGATCCTCAGGGAGTTGGTCCAGAGCCGGCCTCGCTGCTGCAGCAGGCTAAGGGCACACAGCCCCGCCAGTCCTGACACGACGAGCTCGGCACCCAGTGTGGCCGCCCAGTGTCCATCCTCCTCCTTCCTTTCCAGCAGTGCTGCCGGGACAGAGAGCAGGCAGGAGAAAGGGTCAGCCCCCAAGGACCAACACCCTGAGCCCCAGGCAAAGAGGGGACTCGGGATATGCCAGGGGCCTTGGGGTTGGGGGGCTCATTGAAGAGTCAACACCTGTGCCCTGCACAACAGCCCACAGACAGGCCTGATCACGGCTCACTGCAGCCTTGACCTCTCAGGCTCATTTGATCCTCCCACCTCAGCCTCCCAAGTAGTAGCTGGAACTACAGACTTGTGCCGCCACCTTGGCTAATGTGTGTGTGTGTGTGTGTGTGTGTGTGTGTGTGTGTACATATATTTTAGAAACAGGGGTCTATGTTGTCCAGGCTGATCTTGAGCTCCTGGACTCAAGCAATCCTCCTGCCTTGGCTTCCCAAAGTTCTGGGATTATAGGCATGGGACACTGTGCTTGGCCCAAGAATAAAGTAGAATGAGGCTGGGCACAGTGGCTCATGCCTGTAATCCCAGCACTTTGGGATGCCAAGGCAGGCAGATTTCCTGAGGTCAGAAGTTTGAAACCAGCCTGGCCAACACAGTGAAAGCCTGTCTCTACAAAAATACAAAATAAATAAATAACCAGGTGTGGTGGTGGGCACCTGTAATCTCAGCTACTCAGGAGGCTGATGCAGGAGAATCGCTTGAACCCAGGAGACAGAGGCTGTGGTGAGCCAAGATTGCACCATTGCATCCAGTCCCAGCAACACTGTGAGACTGTCTCAAAAAAAAAAAGAATGAAACAAAATCAAATAGGACAGATGACAAAAGAATTAACCACACCTCATAGGTTGTTGGATAAATTTCACCTTCTGAAGCTTCTGCTTCTGCAACACTGAAGGTCATCCAGAACACACAGGTGGAACTGGGCCAGCTGTTATGACTCCCAAACACCCACATGAGGTGGTCAACAGCCACTGCTCCAAGTGCCCCCAGCTTCAGCTCCTGTCCTTACCTTGGAATCATTCAGAACACATAAGCGGCACACCCAGGTGCCACCGCCCTGGCTCTGGCACCGGGCCAGCACCTGCTCAGCCTGGGTGTGTGTTTTAAATGCCCTGTGTATTTTAGGTCAAAATGTTACATGTTTCTGACCATGGGTGAGAATAAAAACTGCCCTAAAGCTGCTATTTTAAGGTTTGTGGGGGCAGTTGGAGGTTGGGGAGGTTCTGGGGGCTCACTGAGCCTACGTCTGTCCTTAGATGGGTTGTTGATATTGAGAGGCTGGGCTGATGAGGACCATCAGGAGGCATTTGGCCCACACCCTAGCCTGGCCACAGGGGAGATGGGGCACAAGGGGTTTCATAGCCTACCTGTCAGGTGGGCTTGGTCACTCAGCAGATGGCTCAGTGATGCAGAGAGGCCAGCTTGCAGCCTGCCTGCTGCGTGAGGTTCCCTGTAAAGATGACAGGGCTGCCCCCATGACCAGTTTCATCTCCAGCTGCTCCTGGAACCACTCAGCCTTGCCGACCATGGGTGGCTGCATGTCTCCAGTCCTGAAAAGGCCGTGGTGTCACCCGGAATGACAGGCTTGGCCAGCAAGCCCAGCCATGATCACACAAGCTGGGACTGGAGAGAGGGCAGGAGACAGCCCAACTAATGGCTTTGTATGCTGATCCTTCCCCGGTTTTGATTTTCCTTGAGATAGAGTCTCACTCTGTCACCCAGGCTGGAGGGCAGTGGCAGGATCCTGGTTCAATGCAAACTTCGTCTCTGGGTTCAAGTGATTCTCCTGCCTCAGCCTCCCAAGTAGCTGGGATGACAAATGCACACCACAGTGCCCAGCTAATTTTTGTATTTTTAGTAGAGACCGGGTTTCACCATGTTGGCGAGGCTGGTCTCAAACTCCTGAGCCCAAGTGATCCGCCCGCCTTGGCCTCCCAAAGTGCTGAGATTACAGGTGGGAACCACTATGCCCAGCCCTTCCCCAATTTTTTAAACTCTGGATTTCTCAAAATTAGAAACCTGTGTTATAAACTCAGACATAAACACAAAGGACTCCTCTTCTCTCACTGACAACCCCCTCGTTGGATCTATCAGAAACTCTGTCGGCCATCACTATGGAACGTGACTAGAGTCCACCCCATCTGCCATCTCCGCTGCCCACCAGCTCCAGCCCTGGTCATCGAGCCTGTCTGACTGAAACATCCTCCCGGCTCTCCCGGCTCCCAACCTGCCGCTGGCAACGGATCTCCACGTGGTGACCAGACACTTCCAATGATGGCACACTAGCGTTTCTTACAGTACAATCCAAAGTCCTTGAGGCCTGTGAAGCCAGAACTTTGTTGGTCACTGGTGCAGACACTGGCAGGTGGGCCACGGGGACAGCTCATTACACTCCAGGGCCCCACATGGGAGATCCTCTAGAAAAGACATGTGCAACAATAAATACCATGTTTGATGACCCCACCAAGCTGCAGACACACCCCACACACCCCTCTGATAGCCACTAGCTGGTCAGTTCACCCAAAAGATGTCAAAACAATACTCGCTATTGCCAGACCATCACTACTTAATGCTATGTTTCCCTGATCCCCACCGACATGTGTGCAGATGTGTATGTATGTGCATGCATCTGTATACAGATGTATCTGTACGTGGATGTGTGTAGATGTGTATGTATACAGATATATGGAAATACAGATATGTGTGTATGAATGTGTGGATATGGATGTGTGTACATGTAGACATGTGTATGAATGTGTGTATACAGACGAGTGTGCAGATGTGTGTAAAGACGTGTATATATATGGATGTTTGTATCTGAATGTATGTGTACAAATATGTCTACATGTGGATGTAGATGCTCGCAGCTCCTCCTGCTGGCAGGCACATCCTAGAGCCGGCTTTCTTCAGCGTGTATCGGAGGCTGCGTGGTGTTCTCAGAGCTTCCTCAGGGTGCAGGTGAACAGGGTGAGCACAGAACTTCTCTCCTAAACCACACTTTGCAGTTAAAGAGAACACTAGCCACAAATGCGTCAGGTCAGCGGGCGAAAACTGGGGCTCTCCAGGCAACACCGGACCAACCCCCACACACCGGGGTAGGGGGTGTCAAACAGAACACTTCCCACATCAACCTTAAATCCCTCAGACTTTAAGGTTGAACCCAAGCCTCGAACCCCTGGGCCCAGGGATTCAAGGTTGAACCCGAGCTCTGGCACTTTGTATTCATGAGCTCATCTGCCGCAGTTTCCCCATCTTGTACGGGGTTAGAAAAAAGACTTGAAGAAGGGACTTGCTGGAACAGGCTCCAGAACGTTATAGAGCACAGGCTGTTACTGTAATTTTGATGAGTCTGGGGCAGATAGAACTAGAATTTCTCCAAAGGCAAATAAACATTTCCAGGCTTCAGACAGCTCTATAGGGAGTGGCAGGAAGGTCCGAGGGGAGGTACAGGCAATCTGTGCTTGCATATTTAGCAAATAACAAGACGTTCAAGGCCCCCTGGGAGTTCTGGAAATGAAGCAGATGTCTCAGCCATCAGACAGGTGGGGCTTTAGGAAGAAGATGGCTCTCCCCTGACACGCGTCTTCTCCCCACCCAGGCTGACGGCACAGGTGGAAATGGAGAGAGTATTTATGCAGCAAGACATCCAGCCCCAGCTTCAGATGCGCCACTCCAGCCATCTGAGAAGACACTGCAAATTGAGGCAGAATTGGGTGATCCACTGCTGAACGTGCCCAGTGGTCATGCCTGGTGGGATCAAGGCTAAAGGTGCTATTTGTACCCTGGCTGGAGTGCAGTGGTGCAATCTCGACTCACTGCAACCTGCACCTTCCAGATTCAAGCAATCCGCCTGCCTCAGCCTCCTGAGAAGCTGGGCCCACAGACGTGCACAACCACGCCCAGGTAAGTTTTGTATTTTTGGTAGAGACAGGGTTTCACCTTCTTGGCCAGCCTGGTCCCAAGTTCCTGACTTCATGTGATCCTCCCACCTCACCTCCCAACATTTGTACACTTTCTGAAGTCACTGTTCTGCTTGAAAAGGGGATAGAAGATTTAAATCTTCTCCCCGGGATGGAGGAAACAGACACGAAACTTCAACACAACGACAAGGGCTTCAAGTGACTAAGTTCTATCCAGGTACCCTTGGGTAAGAACCCTTGAAAAGGACCTACTAAGATGAAAATGAGCCTGCACAACACAGTAAGCCGCATCTCCACAAAAAGAAAAGAAAAGAAAAAATGGAAGGGCATGATGGCACAGGCCTTAGATCCAGCTACTTGGGAGGCTGAAGCAAGAGGATCGCTTGGGCTCAGTGGTTCAAGGCTGCAGTCATCTGGGATCATGCCATTGCATAGAAGACCTTGTGAAAGAAAGAGGAAAGTGGGTGAGAAAAAAAGCGGGGGAAGAGAGAGGGGAAAGGAAAGAAAAGAGGTAGGAAAAGGAAGAAAGAGGGAATAGAGGGAGGGAGAGAAAGGAAAAGAAAAGAGAAAGACATATAAACCTTGTGGCCAGGGAATTCCACTGTTAAGAATGTACTCTGCAGAGAGAATGGTGTTCACCACAGAATGATTGTAAGAGAGGAAACCTGGGAAAAACTCAAGAGCACTTCATTATGAAACTAGCTGAATACATTCCATTAAATGGACTTTTACATGGTCATTCGCACTACACGGGACACACCGATTTTTTTTTTTTTTTAGGTAGATATATTAACTCCACGTGCTGATCGTGTGCATAGATCATCTCGGAAAGGAATCACCAAAAAAACCCTAACAGTGGTTGGCTTTCAGGAGAGGAGGGAGAGCGGCTTTAAGGCGGCACCAGCACCAACCGATAGAACTTTTTGCAATGAGGACCATGTTTGAGGACCATCTGCAGCTGCGGAGCACCTGAAATGTGGCCGACGCAGCCAAAGAACCAAATCCTTCATCTTCTTTAATGTTAATTCATTTAGATTTTTTTTCTATTTTGAGATGGAGTCTAGCTCTGTTGCCCAGGCTGAAGTGAGGCTGCATGATCTTGGCTAACTGCAACCTCTGTCCCCAGGTTCAAGCAGGTCTCCTGCCTCAGCTTCCCAAGTAGATAGGGTTACAGGGCCTCACCACCACATCTGGCTTCTTTCTGTGTTTTTAGTAGAGATGGGGTTTCACCATGTTGGTAAGGCTGCTCTCAAACTCCTGACCTCAGAAGAGCCACCTGACTCTGCCTCCCAAAGTGCTGGGATTACAGGCAGGAGCCACCATATCTGGCCTCACTTCGATTTCAAGAAACACAGATGCCACTGGCTGCCATATGGGAGACTCAGTTCTATACTCTTTCATAGGTTTTGAACTTTGAATCATTTAAATGCATTGCCTATTTTCTTTAGTTGTAGAACTTACTAGGATAGTATTTAGACTATTAATCTAAATGAAATCTACCATAGATTTTAAATTGTAATAGCAAATGCTGATATATAAAAAGATTGCCAAGGTGTGTGTGTGTGTATTAAGTGTGCATGTGTGTATATATATATATATATATATGTATGTGTATTTCCTTTTTTTTGTGAGTCAGAGTCTCGCTCCGCCACCCAGTCTGGAGTGCAGTATTATGAACTTGGCTCACTGCAACCTCCGCCTCCAGGGTTCAAGTGGTTCTCCTGCCTAAGCTTCCCGAGTCACTGGGATTACAGGCATGCACCACCACGTCCAGCTCATTTTTGTATTTTTAGTAGAGAAGGCATTACACCATGTTGGCCAGGCTGGTCTTGAACTCCTGACCTCAAGTGATCCACCTGCCTCGGCCTCCCAAAGTGCTGAGGATTACAGAAATGAGCCAGCATGCCCAGCTGCAAAGGTGTATTTTTGAGTAAAAAGAACAACGTACAAACAAAAAGTAGAGAACAGCTGGGGGTGGTGGCTCATTCCGATCATCCTAGCACTTTGGGAGGCTGAGGTGGGAAGATCGCTGGAGCCCAGGAGGTTGAGGCTGCAGTGAGCCATGTTTGCACCATTGCCCTCCAGCCGGAGTAATGGAGCAAGACCCTGCCTCAAGAAAAATTAAAAGTAAAATTAAGAAATCAAAACCTAAGCATGACGATTGGGTTTTCATGCTATTTTATGATATGCACCCTCCTCAAAACTTGTTATGGTATCATCACATCACCCACCTGATGCGAAAAATAAAAAATAAAACCCAGAAACTCAAACTAAAAATATTTGCAAATCTATAGCGTTATGCGTTGTCCCGTGTCTCCCCGAAAGACGCTGAAGCCCTATGCCGCAGGGTCTGTGGATGCGACCTTATTTGGAAATAGGCTCTTCACATGTGATCAGGCTAAGCTGAGGTAATGAGGGTAAATTTTAATCCCGTGTGCCTGGTGTCCTTATAAAAAGGGAATGTGTGGACAAAGACACCTACCAAGGGAAGACAATGTCAAGACAGAGACAGAAGACCACCTACAAGCCAAGGAACTCTGGAAGCTCTGAGAATCCAGGAGCGAGACCTGGGACAGACCCTCCCTCACAGCCTTCACAGGAAAAACAAACAAACAATAAAAAATCTCTTGATTTCAGACTCCTGGCCTCCAGAACTGTGAGAATAAACCTCTGTGGTTGAAGCTACACAGTTTAGGGTACTTTGTTAAGGCAGCGCTGGGAAATGAATACAGATTTCTTGGGGCGTGCATCAACACTCGTGAAGGAAATTTGGGACATGGCATGCTTGAACTTACGATTCATACTTTTCTCTACTCTGAATTCTTTTTTTTGAGAGACAGGGTCTCACTCTGTCACCCAGGCTGGAGTGCAGTGGCACAAGCACGGCTCACTGCAGGCTCCACCTTCTGGGCTCCAGCAATCCTCTTGCCTCAGGCTCCTGAGTAGCTGAGACTACAGGCACATGCCACTGTGCCTAATTTTTAAAAAATGTTTTGTAGAGATGGGGTCTTGCTATGTTGCCCAGGTTTACACCTGGAACTCCTAGCCTCAAGTGATCTTTCCACCTTGGCCTCCCAAAGTTCTGGGATTATAGGTATAAGCCATTGTGACTGGCTTGCCTTTTTTTTTTTTTTTTTTTTTTAAGACAGAATCTTGCTCTATTGCCCAGGCTGGAGTGCAGGGACATGATCTCAGCTCACTGCAACCTCCACCTCCTGGGTTCAAGCAATTCTTTTGCCTCAACCTACCGAGTAGCTCAGCTTATAGGCTCCTACCACCACACCCAGCTAATGTTTGTATTTATATTACAGGCGGGGCTTCACCAGTGGGCCAGGCTGGTTTCAAACTGCTGACTTCAGGTGATTCGCCCACTTCAGCCTCCCAAAATGCTACGATCGTGGCTCACTGCAACCTCTGGCTCCTGGGTTCAAGCAATTCTCCTGCCTCAGCCTCCCAAGTAGCTGGGATTACATGTCCTGCCACCATGTCCGGCCAGTTTTTGTACCTTTAGTAGAGACGATGTTTCACCATGTTGGCCAGGCTGGTCTTGAACTCCCGACCACAGGTGATCCACCTGCCTCAGCCTCTCAAAGTGCTAGGATAACAGGCATGAGCCACTGTGCCCGGCCTACTTCCATTATTATTACATTGTAATATATAATGAAATACTTACACAACTCACCGTAACGTAGAATCAGTGGGAGCCCCGAACTTGTTTTCTGAAACTAGATGGTCCCTTCTGGGGGTGATGGGAGACAGTGACAG